TTAAAAAATTAAATCCCCCAAAACAAATCTTCAAAGAAACAACTGGCCAATATATAAGTGGGCTAAAGACTTAAAGAGAAAGTTCTCTGAAAAGGAAAGAAGGATGGCCAATAGACACATGAAGAAATGCTCAACCTCTCTAGCCATAAAAGAAATGCAAATCAAAACAACGTTGAGATACCACCCAGTTAGAATGGCTATAATCAAGAACTCTAATAACAACAGATGCTGGAGGGGATATGGACAGAAGGGAACACTACTGCATTGTTGGTGGGAGTGTAAACTTGTTCAACCACTTTGGAAAGCAGTATGGAGGTCCCTCAAAAGACTCCACATAGAGCTCCCATATGACCCAGCAATCCCACTTTTGGGCATTTACCCAAATGATAACAAACAAGATCATACTAAAGCTACCAGCACAACTATGTTTATTGCAGCATTATTTACCATAGCTAAGATATGGAAGCAACCCAGATGCCCCTCAGTAGATGTATGGATCAAGAAAATGTGGTATATATACACAATGGAATTCTATGCCTTCATCAGAAAGAATGACATTGCCCCATTTGTTAGGAAATGGAAAGACTTGGAAAAAATTATATTAAGTGATGTAAGCCAGGCCCAAAAAACATAGATCCCATGGTTTCTCTTATTTGCAATATCTAGTATATGTATGAATCAAGCAGAAAAGTTCAGATAAGCTGATGTTAGGGGAGTGAACCCCAAGATAAGTATTTAAATGTTTTTTGTTTTTTTTCCTTTCATGCAATTGTTTCTAACATATTTATAAGATGATTTCTTTGTTGCTTTGTATGTCCCTCACCCATGCTTTCACTGTATTTGATGTTGGTATAATTTGTGAAGGGGAAGGGAAAAAACAAATAGTTTAACTAGGGATACAGGTGGACCCATTGCAACAATGAGATATACAAGTCGTTATGTTGAAAAATAAACTTTACAACTTTGGTGGCGGGTGGGGGGAGGATCAGATGGGGGGAGGGGTGAGTATGGGAAGGGATGGGAAGGGGAAACAAAAAGGAGGCAACAGTGCTTGATAAGAAATGTACTTATCTTGCCCATGTAATTGTAACTCCTCTGTATGGTATTCTCACAATTAAAAAAAAAAAGAATTACTGGCTCTTGATATTCTTACTCCTATTACTTCTTTAGTTATTAGGGCTTTGGTTCCCTAATCTCACGTTGAAAGAGTAAGGCTAAATTACATAGAAATTTTCCTTTTTACAAGCTAGGAAAACTTGAGGAGCTACCACCCAATTGGCCAGTTGGTCTCCTGTACCTGTTTGTTCCCAAACACACATTTGACTTCTCAGCTCTTATCAACTCAGTGTTCATTTTCTAGAAGCAGAAGAAAGATACCGAGAAAGACACCAAAAAAAATAATATTTACCACTGTGCCTAGAATGTTGACTCTTTGGTCACTTATCATGTGTTGGAGCATCCCTGAGGTAGGCTAATGTAGAAAGAGTCCAAGCTGATACTAGGAAGGAGAAAGAGAGAAAAAGATGAGGTCAAGGCCAGCACTGGTGGCTCATGCTGGTAACGTTAGCTACTCAGCAGGCTGAGATGTGAGGCTCTGGGTTCGAAGCCAGCCTGGGCAGGTAGATCATGAGACTCTTATTTCCAATTAATCACCAGAAAACTGGAAGTAGAGCTCAAAGTGGTAGGATGCTAACCTTGAGCAAAGAAAGCTCAGGGACAGCATCCAGGTTCAAGCCCCGTGATTGACCAAAAGGGGAAAAAGAAAATATGAGGTCAGCCCACATAGCAGTGACTCTTCAACCACTTTAGCATTCCAACCTGAGAAGGTATAGAACAAACGAGATGGCCAGATAACCTTTTTATTTATACTTCGAGAAGAGGACAGACTATATAGACCCCACTTCAGGTCTTGCCAAATTTAATGGTTATTAAAATGTACCTGGGTTGAAATGAACTTCCTTGAACTCATGGAAGAGTGTGTCACATCCATATATCAAAGGATGAGTTCAGACATCTCTCTATGGCCAATTAATCAAATATCATTTTGCTTGAAGCCATTTCAAGAAAATGAGTTTATTTAATAAATAATTCTAATTAATTTAAAGCTAAGACAAAGGATATTAATTTACCCATTAACCAGTCCTGGCAATTAACCCATATTTTGCACCCTGTCTGAGGCTTGCTGCTGCTGATGACAAAGCTGACACAGCCGTAGACCAGGTGGAGACCACGTTCAGGTTTGGCTCCAGAGTTTGCTGCCTTTCAGAACACAAATTCTGCTCCAATGAGCTTCCACATGAATCGAAATCTAGATTTTATGTGAATTCCGCTGACATATGCACTGTGAAAGATATTTAGAATTAAAACAAAAACAAAACAAACATTTTGCAGATCAGATTCCACCCACCTGAGGGCTGGACTTGCCCGTGGGAATCTCTGCTGCAGGGCCTAGGTACAGGAGTGTTAATGGCTCATACTTTCTGGTACTGGAATGTGCCCCCTCCCCTGCATTGCATATTAGTTTTTAAGTTTGTTAAGGTTTTTACTTATGTTTTAAGTGCTCCAAGGCTTGCATCTAGGTGTGGATTTACCTAGTGAATGTGCTCTGTTCTCTACCTGGTTTTTAATTAGCAAAATAGCTTTTTACTTTCTTTAACTGATTTTGAGGATGTTGTACTTCTCATAAAAATTTTTTTTCTTTATAGAAAAGTACAAGCATTGATGGAAGGAGCTGACTTCTGAGAAAGAAATGCAGAACGTGAAAAAATTTACTAAGTGTTTATCTAGTAAATAGAGATGTGCAGTTGAGGTAGAATTCAGTGATATTTTGAGCGAAAACAGTGGGCATATTTGGACCAGAATAGCATAATTAGGGGAAAAGTGTATGAAGAGAACCCTTGAGAGATGAAGGGTCACTCTTAGAATTGCTAAGAAACTGTAGCTTGCTTTGTAACTTTCCCTAAATTCACTGTAATATGTTATACCCCTCGGATTGCTGTTGGCAGTAATTGCCTCCTTTTTCTTTTTCTTTTTTTTTTTTGTTTTCTTTCATATTTAGAATTCAGTGTTCTGCTCACTGCAGTTTCTTCATAAATTGAATGCTTTGAATTATTGAAACATGTCTTTTGGATTTAAATATTTATGACTTAAATATACATTTCTTAATGTCAACTCTAGAAACTGTGTCTGTGTGCCTTCCACAGGGAGGGAAGCATGCTTAGAGGAATATAAATATGCTCTGTTCTTAAGACCCAAACAATGCAGTCCTTAATTTGAAAATCCTTCTCATTTTGCATTTCTTTATCTTCTTAAAATGTTTAGGTGGGAATCTTATGACAGGAAGTTTCTTTTAGGATTTTAGTATTTCCTGAGCTTGAAATCATATAGGATAACAATAGTCTTTGTGTTTTCATTTGGATCTATATCAAAAGCTTTGGGCTGAAAATGCCAGCTGCACACTGCAAATAAAGGACTGGAATCATCATACTGAATTTGCTATGAGCTATAGGAGTTAGTTGGAAGTTTTCTTCAGTTAGGAGGGTTGGTGCAGGCTCCATCTCCCTGGTGTAAAGCTGGATAGCTGTTACACAAATGAGATTTCACTCTTCCCAAGTCATTGTGCTCACTTTACTTGCCCTTTGGAACTGTTGGGCGGTCTCCCAGAATCTTGGGACTCAGAAAGCAGAAAAGTCTGCGAAAAGAGCTTGACTTCAATTGTCTGGATCCCTTTTTCTGAAAGTTCTCACTTCTAATAGCAATACAATTAAATACCAAAGAACTCATAGACCAAACACCACAGGACTTGTCTAATGGAAAATTACTTGGTTGATGGAGAGTAAACTTTATTCCTCATTGTCATAGATTGCTCTTCTTTATCAGTTTATTCGTAGAGAATATTGTACCTCTTCAATAGGAAATTCTTCTGAAAGGGAATGGAGAAGTTAATTATCTCCTAAGCTTTTAGGAGCCACTGAAGCTATTGTATGAGATGAACAATGAAACCCAGTTACTTGAAGGAACATTTAACTCAGTTACATGAAGAAGCATTTAACTCAGTTGATCAATAAAGAGACAATTTATATAGCAATTGTTTTCTAATTGAATCTCCATATTATTGGGTAAAAATTTTTCCAAACAGTGTTAATTCCTTTACTATGTTCCCCCAATGTGGATATTTAAAATTTTTTTCTCTTTAATTATAGTTTATTTTTAAGTGGTTGTACAAAGGTTTTACCATTTAACAAACCAGTTTGTAAGTACAATGATTCTTTTTTTAATATATATTTTTATTGTAAAGATACTGTAAAAGGGATAACAGTTACATGAGTAAGGTAATGAGTACATTTTTTATCGAGCATTGTTACCCCCTCCTTTGTTTTCCCCTCCCACCCCTTCCTCCCCCACCTCCCCAAATTCTTCCTTTTTCCACCTCCAGTTGTAAAGTACGCTTTCAACATAGTGTCTTGTACATCTCATTGATACAATGGGTCAACCTGAATCTTTGTTTCAGCATTTTGTTATTTTCCCTCCCCTCCCCAAATTAGAAAAATTTACATACAAGATGCTGGGCACCGGAATCAAATATAGTGGAAACAAGGGCTATACCATGAGGGAAGAACAAAAGAAACAAAAAAAAAATCACATAGTACATTGAAGTCATTTTTATATCATTTGGAAAATTAAAAATTGGAGTATATTTGTTTCCTCTATAAGTGAAAGAATCCATTCCTTATCAGAGTTTCATTATTCAGTCAACTAATACTTTTAACTCATCAATTATGTGTAAGGTTTGTTGATAACTACACTTAAATAAATCCAAATGAGTAAGAGTAAATAAGCCTATCAATTCACACAAATGTTAATTTGAAAATGTTTAGATACTGTGCAAGAATATAGTCATCTGAGATTATTTTGGCCAGTTACTATTTTTATTCTAAGGAATTAAATGGGGTCTTTGAAGTATTTGGAGAAAATGTTTTCCATTACTCTTTTCCTATCAGGGGATTTGGGCTCCTGGGACGTGCTCATTTGCCTGCCTTCTAGGACAGCTGATGCCAAATCCTGCATATGCAAGGAGGACCTGTGCCAGTTAGCGCCACACCAGAAGGTAAATGCTCCCCAAACATACGCAGATTTATTAACACTATGATGTTAATGGTGGTAATTTTCAGTCCATAAAAACTCTTTACATCCTTGAAAAAAGTTCCAACTAGTTATGAGTGTTCATATCTGTTCTCTGTCATTGTAACAAAACACCTGGGAAAAATCCAACTTATAAGCAGGAAATACTTTGACTCATAGTTTCAGAGATTTCAGATGATGATCACTTTGCTGCCTTTGGCTCTGTGACAAAGCAGAACAGTATTACAAAGAGGGTGTGAAACAAACAGGAAGGGCCAGTGTATCAATATCCTTTTCAAGAGGACACCTCCAGGGATCAAACTCCTTCCTTCTAGGCTATGCCTCCTAAATATTCCACCACTTCCCAATAGTGCTTCGGCCTGGCAATCAAGCCTTTAGCACAGGAAACTTAGAGGGAAAACCAAAAGTCAAAACCATAGACTGTACTTTACCAGATGAGCATTTTTTGTTAGATAAGACTCCCCAACATTATTTGCTGCCATTTCTGTAGTTTTACTCAGTGGGCCTCCATATATTTATTATGGCTTCTGTAGCCTATGCAATGTGGCTTACCATAAGCTTCCTATTCATTCAAAGTAGCAAAGTTGTTTTTTAAAAACTTTCCCCATCATTATTCTTACTTTTTCAAACCTATTAACTTTAAATTTGACCTTTAGTATTTATGTGTGTCTATATTATGCGAGTATGTGCTTTTAGAAAAGTTAACCTGAAAAAGTACCCAAAGACTAAAATTCTAGTCACTAAGCTAGACAATTTATATAGTTTTGATACTTATATCAAGTTTGTGAGGAAAGTACCAAAGTCAAGTTACTTTTCAAGTTTATAGTTGGAGTTGGCGTAACCTACCCTGAGTACTCAATATTTTCCCAACATCAAACTAGGTAAAGCCTTCTTGCTCTAATTCTATTCCCTTGAGATTTGGTCTATGTATTTGAGTTTCTGTACATCTTTGGCCATTCCTTATCAATGCGTGCTTGTTTTGTACTGAACAAACAAAACCAGAATATCTTGTATGCTAGACAGTTGCTCTACTACAGTATCATACCCATTTCCTTCTTTATCTTAGTTTAAATTATTTTTGCCAATCCTAGGGCTTGAACTCAAGGCATTGTCCCTGAGCTTCTTTTGCTCAAGGCTAGCATTCTACCATTTGAGCCACATTCCCAACCCCAGTTTGCCCAATTCTTAAATGCCCATATTTCCTAACACAATAATTTTAAACAACATTTGTAGTTGAAAACTTCCATATCTACATCTAAATTTCTTTACACTTCCTCATGCTTCAGGCTTATATATGCATAAATACTTCTTCTTGGATGTCTCATTGATGTGTCAAGCTCAGCTAACTCATTGTTGGATCACTGTTTTCCTCAGTAAAGTTACTCCTGCATTATAAGTTCTACTGAGCTTCTCTTCTGCTGGTCATAATCATCATCCACCTCTGTCATTTCCTAAGGTCAAAATCTGCCTTTAATTTCAAGCCTTTCCTTTCCTGTGTCATCTACATTCAAATGCTAGTCAGTTAACACCCCAATACTCCAAAAATCATTTATTTACTTGATATATTTACTATGCTTAATATGATTAGATAATCAGCACTTTTTTGTTAAATCTTCCTGATTGTTTTTCTGAAACAAATATTGTACCATGTAGTCATTTATGCCTGCTTTCCAGTTATCAAAAGACAAATATAAAACACTGAGATCATCTTGTAATTTTTGTATTAAAATCTCAAATAGCTTCTCATCGACTGTACAGGCCACAGGACAGGCTGTGCCTAAGTATTCCAGAAAAAAAGTAGATACCATACTCAAATGTCAAAAGTCAGGAGAAACTAATAATAGAACAGTATTATGAATTAAAGAAAGAAAATGATCCATGTGGCAGCCCCAAACCAACAACATTCTTGTATTTCCCCACTCTGGGTCTTAAGAAAGCTAAATAGAAGGAATGAAGTAACCAGAACCTAATGAGATCTAGAGCCAAGAAAGAGATGCAGAGGGAAAGAAGTTGTAAACTCAAGAGAACGTTCCCAAGTTGCAGGACTACAAAAAGGGAGCCTTAGAGATAAGTACCCAAACTTTCCTTCCTCCTTCTGCCTCCCATTGGCCCATGTTTACTACTAATCAAAGGAGAAGAGATAATGTAATGCCACTATGAAAGTCAGCTTACTGAGAACAGAATAGGGAGGAGGCATTTAGAGATATTTAGCAGAGTTAACTATCTTGAAAGTTCTCTGTGGATGGCTCCTGCCTGACAGTACCCTTCTTTCACCTCCTTCTACTTGGGTGTAGTGCTACAGTGATTTTAAACAGATATATACACACCTACGCTGAATTAGCTATTCTTAAGTATCCACCTCAGTAATTTTTCACCAAAAAGGATTTTGTCTCCTCTTTTAATATTTGATAGTAACAGAGACATTTTTGGTTTTGTTATGGCTAGTAGGATAGATGTGATACTGGCATCTTTGTGTCCAAAGCATGGATGTTTCTAAGTATCATTTAATGCTCACAATAAAGAATTATGAGGTCCAACATGTCAGTAGTATCAAAGTTGAGAATCCTTGATGATTGTATTACATTGGCCTTAAGTGAGTGCTTACAACTTTTGGAGCTCCCTGGCCTTTTTCTTCCTACATACTCCCATAATTCCTCATATTAATCTTAAACTTTATATGCATTATATTAGTTATCCTTTATCTTTGCACCTACCAATGCAAACCAGGCTTAATCAGCTAATGAGGTAAAATGAGCTCACATTGACATTAGATTTGATATTTATTAGGTAATTCAGGTTTCCTTTAGCAACTTCTCTATTTTCCCAGAGGTATCTGCCATCTTGTTAGACATAGAATTTCCCATGTCTTGTGCCAGACTCACAGTCCCAGCCACTATACCAAAGGCACCTGAGAAATGCCCCATGCTGGTCCTGATGATCTGGTGGTAAATATATTCTGTGTCCAGGATGCTATTCACAACTACAGAATCTCCAAAATCCCCAGAGTGCTTGCTATCCATCAGTTCTAGCTGAACTGGACTCAGATGTAAACAAGGAGACTGTCCCTTTACCCAAATTGGTCCTTTGTTTTCTACAGCCTAAAACAAATTGCTTGCAACTTGAGCATCCCAAAGTCACCCATGGAAAATATCTCCTTTAACTTTTATATCCTTGTGTCCCTGGGACATTCATAGTAAACTCTTGTACAACATTGATCACTTGAAGGATTTTGGTCATGTTTAATCACTGTAGCCTGCAGTGTTTTATCTAAGAAAAAAATAACAGAAAGGTACCAGCTTCTAGGCAGTCTCTAAGACATTGTAGGAAAATGCAAATATAATAATGAGTTGACTCTTAAGTTTAGCGGCTTATAAACCATGGTATGTTCATCAGAGCTAAGAAATAAATGTTCATGCAAACTAAGTACTAAATTATAGACATTATTTGGATTGCCTCTTTTGCTCTAGGATCCCTTGTTACATGTATTATGATTTCTCTGTGTGTCTAGTTTCTGATGATTCCTCAGTTCTTATTTGCCTTTTATGACTCTGTTACCTTGGGAGAATATTTGTTAGGCATTTTGTAGAATGTCCTGCAGTTTGCCTATACCTGATGTTTTCTCATGATGTTATGGAAAGAATACCATAGAAGTGTTATGTCCTTCTCAGTTTAAAATGCTAGGAGGCATACAATGTCTGTTTTTTTGCTGGTGATGTTCACTTCCATTGCTTGGCAGAGTTGGTGTCTACTAGATTTCTACACTGTGAAATCATGATTTTTCCTACATGTAACTAATAACTATCTTGGGAGCTGATATTACATGAAAAGTCATAGTGATTTCAAGATTATGAAGATATTCTGTTTCTCAACATTTTCCCACTCATTTGGATACCTAGGAATCGATCTTGCCTGGCATAATTATCTTGTACTTCTAATGATGATTTCTCTCATTCCTTCTACAATGATTAACTGAACTTATTCTGTTCAGGAAGAGGTATTTCTATCAGCTCTGCATATCTAAGTTCTTTTCACTTAAAAATGAAGCTTCACTTGAGAGACTGATTACCTTGAGGATTACTTTTACAAGTTTAGCCTAATACCGTTTATCAGGATAAAGGCCACAGAAACCCTGAGATACATTCCATTTTGAGTATCTCAGTAATTTTATTACTAGAATTATCAACTCAGTCATTCATTTATCTGTACATTTGTTTACTCATCTGGACTTTTGTTATTCTAAGAAATAAAACAACCAGAACTCATACTGAGGCAACGTGACCTCAAATTTCTGTTTTCTCAATCATGTCAATAGAAACTTTCAAGATAATTATTTAGGCACTGAACTTACAGTCCAACCTAATGATTATTCTTAAAGAATACAGAAATTCTCAGTGATACATGTAGATAACTATCATTTTGGAAGTGTGAATAATTTGAAGCTTTATGAGCCATGACTCATTTATGTATACAGCATAAATATTCAAAACAGAATTTTCTTTGAATTTGTTGAGGATATTGCAGAATTGTCAATGACTTTAAAATCAACAAGGAAAGAGTAACTGCGCACATTAGAATTACTAATGGCTTTAGAGCTTTGTCATTTTCATGCTGTGCAAGTGATCATAAAATCTGTAATAGAAAATGAGTGGTCAGGAGTCTCTAGTCGGGAGGATAGGGACATGAATTTAAAACAGTCTTGGTCTGTATGCTGCTGAGAGTGAAGTAAGCCCCACAATTTGAGGGTCACTCAGTTTAGTAACCAGGACTCTCTCTCACTCATCTCAGCCAGGTTCTAGTGTTTCAAATGTAGAGAGATTCATTTCTAGCTTTAAGTATTTGTAGAATTAGCAGTCTCTGTTTTAGTACTTGGAGCACCGAGAACTAATGAAATGACTTATTTAAAGCATAGCATGGAATTTTTAGGTGACTTTGTTAGAGTGATCATTGTATAGAAAAGAGGGGAGAAGAGACTTCTTTGGTTAGCTGGCACTCCTAGTTTCTTGTCATTCCTTTCTTAGTGGACATTGAAGAACTTTGAGAGAAGGTTTGACTTTTGATAAAAATAGAAAGCATGAAAAATCTCTACAGACACAATGAAAGAAAGAACAATTCCCTTATGATATAACATGAGGTAAAGCTCACTCTTAATCTTCGAAGGACCAGAAAAACTATCCCAGGCAATTTGTTATACTGCATCAAGTAATTCTTATTCAGAAGTCTACTCTCCTTAACACATTAATGATGTGACTATGGTGTCAGCTTTTTTATAAACACTTAACACATTCAAATAAGAATATATTTTTACTTTTTTACTAATGAATCATGTCTCAAAAGAAGAGTGAGTTTTTACTTTTGCTTTTAATACATTTTAATAGAACAATTTATGTGCAAAATATCACAGATTAAGTTTGTACAAAGTTTGTTGGGACCAAAATACTTTAACACATTCATTCTTCTCCTAATTGTAACTCTTAAAAGTATGCCAGGGACTGAATTTCATGATCAGCATTTTTTTTTTCCTGAACTCTGGGCCTGGGCGCTGTCCCTCAGCTCTTCAGCTTAAGGCTAGTGCTCTACCACTTGAGCCACAGTGCCACTTCCGGCTTTTTCTGCTTATGTGGTGCTGAGGAATCGAACCCAGGGCTTCATGCATACAAGTCAGGCACTCTACCACTGAGCCACCTTCCCAACCCTGTCATGATCATCTTACACATGCTTTTAATCCTTTCTAAAAGGTTTGATACCAAGTAATCTATTTACAAATGCATATATGTTTTTATAAAAAGCATTCAAACCTAATACAAGATTGATATTTATTAAAACTGGTTGACAGATGATATATGAAAATATATTCATGAAGTCTAGCAAATATACCATTCCACTGAGCAATGTTGATCCTACAAAAGGTCATACCTGTGAGGAGACACAAGGTAAATATGCTCTTTATATACTTTCTGCTCAATTTTTCTGTCAACCTTAAACTGCTCTTAACAAAATAAAGGCTATCAAGCTGGAAATGAAGCTTCAGCTCAAGTGGCAAGAGTGCTAGTATTGAGCAAAAAAGCTGAAGTTCAAAGCCCCAGATTGGCAATAAATAATAACGAACAAACAAACAAATGCTATTAAAATAATTTTTAAAATGTTGAAGCAGAAATAAACATCACATAAAAATCAGGCAGTCTGGATTACACTCCTGTGATAATATTTCACTTGATAATGATACAGATATATTTTGTAGCATACACAAAACTAAAGGCACTATAATAGAGCATCCTTAGGTCTAACAAATATGTAATACAGTTGATTCACAACAGCTGTATGACTTGTGACACTTGACAATTTCCCCTCTGTGCTGTGCTGCTCATTTTGACTGCTTAGTTTGGTGGCCAGTTCACACATTCATGGAGGTATCTTTTTGGCATGACACCACCATTAGATATCTCTTCTTCAACTTTGTGACTTCTAAAGTCACAGAAGACAGAAGAGAGAGGAAACATCTTTGGGTGGCAGTCAGGAAAACAGAAGGCAGCAGTGTAGATCTGTTTCCCTTGGTTGGCTCTGAATTTTTTTAAGCTTATAAAACTGATCTTGAGTCAGTTCAGGAACCACATATCACAGGGAAAGTCATTTCTCTGACACGACTCAGTAGTCTATCCTTCTATTGGTAATTTGTGCTAGCTGTCCACTGCCTGTCTGGTTATCTGCATAACTTGTTCTGGCTCATTCAATCAGTTATCTGGTCCATTGTACCAGTGTCTTGATTCTCTTCAGTTTGTGCAGAAGGTGACGATGTCTCATGTAGCTACAGTGGCAGCACTTTTTCAGGAACCATTTAGAAGTAGCCTGAAATGTACATGAGCATGTCTCTGGCCTTCAGTGCTGAGAATCTAGCGTTGGTTCTCAGTTCGGATCCTTCTAATGTTAAAGATAATGAGAAGTCATTAAGCAACTCAGTGATTTTTGTTTCCTGTGGAGAAAAATTACTCAATTTTATTGGCTTTTGAAGTTTCTCACAATCCAATTTGAAAAAAAAACTTTTTGTGTTAACTTAAGAAAATAAAAATTGTCTCTTTTGTGTGTTTTCCACACTTCCTCAGTACTCTGCCTGCCCCTCTAGGCTTTCAGAAGAATTGTAAATTGTAGAGTCAGGACTTTATATGAAAGCTCTTATTTTTCTTCATTTAGTCTGAACTTTTTCATTTAGAACTTGACACATATGAATAATTCTCAGACTGAAGGTGTACTACAACATTGATGGTCTTCTGTCAGTTCTCAGTGCAGAGGCCATGAGTGATTTAAGCTCTGGCATTCGTATATACTGAACAAAATGTAGTAGTAGTTATTCAGTAGTAGAGCTTGTGCCTAAAAGTTCAAATGTGGTCTTGTTTGTAAGATCTGGCCTACAATTTGTCTTCCTCTAGCTATTCTTGGGAAGCAGAAAGTTTTCCAAGGAAGTGAATAGAGTTAATACAACTATAAATGTTGGAGAAGATTTCATCAAAGCACTATTTCAAAACACTTTGATTAAACCTTTTATTTTTCTTTAAAGGTACAACCAATCAAAGAACTGATAAAACTCTAAAGCAAAACTGTAAGATAGAGACTAAAGGTTCTACATGCTTGTTTTTGAAATGAAGAAATTAGAAAAAAAAAAGCAAAATGTACTTCTGGTTCTATCAAGTGTAGAATTGGGACTATCACTATATAGCTGGTTATTTCCCCCTCCCCCACTTTCACCACCCCACCCCAAACACAGCTGAATACTTTACATCCAGTCAGGTCAATAGAGTCCCATGGAGAAGTTACAATACTTTACTAGGATAGAGTGAATTAGCTAGAAAGTAATCAATAATGTCTCAAAAATTGATCTGATTTTCAAGCTAACTTAAACAGGTTCCCTTTGTTATGTTTAATAGGAGTCTATCATATTTGGCTTCAGGTGAGGATTTCAGTGATGATATTAATTTATCAATACTGTAAATTTACATGAGCAAAAGAAGTAGATTTGTTTGTATCTTTTCTCTACCTTAAAAAATTCTATATTTGATTTTATTACAACTCTAAAGTTTGCTAAGGAAAAATTTCGGTCAAAATAATTTTATCATAACTGGCTTTTATATTTGGAAGTAAATGGCTTTCAGCATGAAGTATAAATATGAAATTATGAAATGTTTTGCCACTGAATTACTACTGAAAATCTGTCTAATGGAGATAACTAAAGGACTTTGGAACTTTGAGGTTTAGTTGGCTTGCAGGTTTATTTAGTGCTTTTTTTTTTTCTTAGTGATACAGCTTTGCAATTCTGAAGTTATTGGTGTTACTGTATTTGCCCTAAGTTTTTCCTTTTATTTATAGTAAATATGGATTCAATGTTCATATTTGTATTTTATATGGATTTTACGTCTAATAAATATAAAAGATTTCAAATACATTCCCAAGGGAAGATTTTACTTTGTTATTTAATAAGCCACTTTCTTGTGATGAATTTGAGTGTAGACTGGAAGAGTTATGAAGGCTAGGTTTGGATGGTGTAGACAATGCTTTACTTTTAACTATGAATTTTTGTTTGCTTTGTGTCGCCATTTGTGAATGTCTAACTCATTAGAACTTTTTTTCTCATTTTTTATTTTCAGATAAACATATTGCCAGAAATACAGTATCAGCTTTGCAGAAAGGAAGGGCTGTGCCAATTAATCAGAAGATTTCCAGGTAATCAATCTTTAGTTTGTTTCCTTGTATAACCATAGTTCAAACATGAGTTTTCTTTCTTTCTTTCTTTCTTTCTTTCTTTCTTTCTTTCTTTCTTTCTTTCTTTCTTTCTTGGTCCGGTTGTGGTTTCTGAACTCTGGGCCTGGGCGCTGTACCTCAGCTCTTCAGCCAAGGTAGTGCTCTACCACTTGAGCCACAGCGCCACTTCCGGCTTTTTTCTTTTTGCTTATGTGGTGCTGAGGAATCGAACCCAGGGCCTCATGCATGCAAGGCAAGCACTCTACCACTGAGCCACCTTCCCAGCCCCATGAGTTTTCTTAAAAGATACTAGCTAATGACATTTCAGAATAGCTTCCTGATTTACCAGATGCACTCATATAAATCAGGTTTTACGAATGGGAAGTTCTTACTAGTAAGTAATAAGAGCCTAAAAGTGATATATATGTTTAATTTTGCCTTTTGTTTTGTTAAATTTCATTTTGTTTCATTTTGTCTGTCTTTTAAAGTATTGTCTTATTTTAAAGTAATCATTTTAATAGTTCTTAGTTATATAAAACTTGAAATTAAAAGACTGTTTATAATTAAATGATTTTGATCCTGGAATTTGTTACAGTTTTCAGAAATCCACTCTGTTTATAGTTTTAAAACAGGATATTAAATGAGTAAATTCTCTGCCATTGCTATATTAGGAATTTGTGATGAAAATTACTATCTCTAATTTCTGCATAACTTTCCATAGTAGAAAAAAGAAGTATAAGATATTAAGCTGAAAATGAACTTTACAACTTTGGGGTGGGGGAGGGGAGAGTTGGGGAGGTGGGGAGGGAAGGGATGGTAGGGGAAAAACAAAAGAGGAGGTACCAATGCTCCATAGGAAATTTACTCATTATCTTACTTATGTAACTATAACTCCTCTGTACAGTATCTTTACAATAAAAAATATATATATACTAAAAAAGTATCAGCAGATATTGAGCCTGCAGAGATAAAATAAATCCTCATAAATGAAATTAAAGTAAACTTTAAAACTCATTAGCGGAAACAGTTATCAAATTTCTTGTTTTAAACTCATTTACTAATTAATAGTTTATTCCCCTAGAAAGTATTTTACTACATTTCTAAACTTTAGATCTATTTACCCTTAATTCTGTTTTTCCTAAGTTAATAGTTATCCTATTAGAATCAGAAAAGATTACATTTTAATGTATTAGCTTTTCTGTAGGGCTTCTGCCTCCAAATAAAACATAAACCTTATTGCCATGAACTACTCCAACTACTGTAGTCTTTCTCCATCACTGACCAGAAATGAAAAAGCAAATGGATTAGAAATTCTACTTTTAACTTAAAATGTACTTTTAAACAAATACTGTATATATTATTTTCATAAGGATGATATTACATAACAAAAATATAGCTAACTACATAACCCAATATTTTTGTAACCTCTAGATATTTTTGTTTCATAAAAAGTAATGCTTTTATGCATACAATAAAAATAATTATTTATATTAATATGAAATTACTGCCAGATTCCAGTGGCTCACACCTGTAATCCTAACTACTCAGGATGCTGAGCTTTGAGGATCATGGTTTGAAGCCAATCCAGGCAGAAATGTCTCTGAGACTCTTATCTCCAAATAAACACAATAAACCTGGAAATGGAGCTGTGGTTCAAGTAGTAGAACTCTAGCATTAGGCATAAAATCTCAGGGACAACACCAGGCCCTGAGTTCAAGCCATATGTGTGTGTGTGTGTGTGTGTGTGTATGTATACATATATATATATATGTATGTATATATATATATATATATATATATATATGTGTGTGTATGTATCCTTAAAACAACTCAAAAATTGTTTGCATTTTGAGAGAATTCATGTATTTTAAAGTATGCTTTCTTTGTTGTTATTTACATTTAAGAGTGATTGAGTTGGGTGCTAGTGACTATGCCTGTAAGTAAATGTAATTACTTGGAAGGCTGAGAAAGGGATCTAAAATCCAACCCAGTAGAAATGTTCAAAAGACTTTATCTCAAAACACACACACACACACACACACACACACACATACACACACACCAAACTAAGGCTGGAGATGTAGTTACAACTCATATAGTAAAGCATCAACTTAGCAAATGAGAAGCATTGAGTTTAAGCTCAAGTACTGCAAAGAAATATAAATAAATAAGGAAGATTTTATTAACGTTTTTAATAGCATTGTAGGAAGCAGAATAGAATCATAAAATTAAAGTATATTTATGGTTCAAAATGATTATCAATTAAGAAAATTCCTCAAGTAAGTTTTATATAAACTTATATTTTAGATTTCCTTCCATAAAATTACAAGGTAATCTTTACATTCTTTTCCTTTAAACATTTTTTATTATCAAGAATGTTTACAAATTCCTATAGTCCCTTTTCCTACTCTGTCTAATGTGTCAATTTTTCATTTATCTTTGTGACTAATGAGATAGCTTTGTGAAATATGCAGCCTTATAAGTGAAACATTTATTCTATCATGTTTTCTTTCTCTAGCTGAAGATAATTTCTTAGATGTGTAGTTTTAAAATGTCTACTGCGTTATTTTCTGAGGTGAATTTTATCAACCGTAGCTTTTACACCAGCTTGTTACTGCAATAAATATGTAATATATAGCTCACAAATACAATATTTACTGATTAAAATACTGAAGAGTATTAATATTGATTGCAGATTAGGCGTCAGTACCTTAGAATATTGTATTGTCCAAAGGCAAAATAAAACAGTCATGGTGTGGGAATGTGTGACTGTACTTCTAGTCTCATGCCTCTTAAGACCAGTCTGGATGAGATCCTTTCTCAAAAAAACCAAACCACAAAAACAACAAAGACAGCTACATAAACAAAAAGTAGGTAATAAAACTAAACATCGCAATCTGGAGACATTTTACTTAAGTCCAAAACAATGTTAAAGCTGTGTTTTATTTGGAGGTTGATCAATTGATTGTGAAATTAAGGGTTCAAGCTCTGTGACCTACTAGCTGTCCAACAACTTCAAGGGATTTGTTTTCTTGATTTTTGTTTCCCATCGACAAAGTAGAGAGAAAACAATACCAATTTCATTGGTTTAATTTTTAAATATCTAGTAGATTCTGTTTGCATGTATATTTGTGTATATCTAATTTAACTTGAAGATTAAAGCACACCTCGTAATATTGTGTTAATATATAACACTCAAAATTGAACTAAATCATTCTACAACTAAAAAATCAAACAGTAGGCCTTACAATACTTAACATTTTCTCCTCTTATACATGTTTCTCTCAAAAACTGCAAAATGTCTGAGATTTTACCCTACTCCTAACTCACAAGTCATCTGCCAGTTTTATGGTTCTTCTCAGAGACACAAGATGCCTAAGTCAGAGACAAATGTTTTATTTACAGCAGCAGCACTAGGCAAGCTACCAGCCTTTGTACAAGGTCACAGAATCCTGGTTTCCTAGTCCCGGTTAAGTACTCAATAAATGGAAAATTAAGAGAGAAATGCCAACTTGGAGAATTTGAATCTTTTTTTTTTTCAAGGGTAGCAAACAAAACTACCAGAGGAATATTGGTTTTGCTCAGCAGGCTAAGAAACAAAGAACGTTTCCTTCAGTTCTTGACAGACATTTCTATCTTCAAGACTATCCACTGCATCAATACCTGTGGAAGATGTTTCAAAGCAAAGCTATTAGTGCCATTATACAGAAGTAGGGATGAAGCCTAGGGAGTATCCCCAGCTGTTTCAGACCGTGCCTGGCACATTCTAGCTTGGAAGCATTATCAGTCCATTATACTAAGAAAGATTTCAAATGCAGTTCTTCTACAGTTTTCTAATCTATAAAATAGGTCCTTCTCCCCTTAGAGATTTGTTGTCCTAAGCTCTATTTTTGCAGCAGAGACATGGATGCTAAGGCAGGAAGGTTGATTATGATGTGAAGTTGGTTATGACCCATGCAAATGAGATGGGACAATTTTGACCAAAAATAGAAGAGTGACTGAATGTATGTAACGCTAACACAATCTGTTCCTCCCATGCCCAAACAGCGTGTACCTGACCTTAGACTTGTGAGTCACATGGAGGCAAATATCCATGGAAACTTTTCTGGCTAGCAGAAAGATTTATTTTTATCTTGCCATTTAGTGCTTTGTTTTTTGGGAAAAAAAAACTGTCTCATCATATGTAGTTGGCTTAAACTTGGCATTCATGCTTTTTGTTGCTTTTTATGAAGGGTTTTATTTTTTAATAAAAATTGTTTTCCCATATTTGAACTACAAGTACAAACAAAACATAAGAGAACTATTTTACTTGGGTAGGGAGTTGTTTTTGTTCTTTTTAGTGCAACTTCACCATGCAAGAAATCTTGCTTAGGAGTGTGCCAAATTTTTGGCCATAACTCATTCTTTCCAGTGGTTTTATCGTAGTTCTGTGTACAAAGATTTGTACTCAAAGATAACACAGTGAACAATATAAGATCTATGTCCTCATTTTTACAGTAACAATGTCACTTTACAGAGAAAAAAAGAAATACAGCATGAAATTTAACACATTTTATTGTATCTAAACATGATGGAATTTTATAACTTTCTATATTTTTATTAACAAATGTAAAGTATATTGTTAAAATAACTTAGGGAAGCTATTTTTAAGCACTGTGGTGTAGTCCTGATTGATTTTAATATTTCATGTCTAGCGTTACAAGTAAAGAAGAACAAAGCTTGCTTGCTCAGTGTTTTCAAATTCTGATCACCCTTCATATGTGTTTTGGGGGGAGGAGGGACTTCCTCAGGCTTCTCTCACTCCCCAAAACTCTCACCTTCTGTGCCACAAAACATGCAAAACATTCCCCCACCCTCAACCCGCAAATAAAGCTCTTGGCTCTTTAGTATGGCTGACTTTAACAAGGTGATAGCAGGAAATAAGCTGATGGAACTAATGCAGACTAAATTACACCCTTCCTGTAGTCCTAAGCCTCTTACAT